CAGCAGGTTGAAGAGGAGGTATCGTTTATTAGTTTTTGCGACATTAGTAAATAGTCCTTTTCGCGTGCGCTGATTGGCTAACCCGAGGTGATTAGCGGAATGCTGTTTACCTCCTAGCAGCCGGAGAGAAAGCAAGTGGGATCTTGTTACGCTTCGGTCTCCGCTGGGAAATTTTTTCAATATATGAAAAGTCCATTCCCAACAAGTATTTGATAGTGAGTACGTCAAACCTTTGGGTTTCGAATTTAGGGCAAAAAATCGATCGATGTACTTGGTATATGAAGATTAGGAGGAAACCATACATTCAAAGTATAGTGCCTTTTTCAGAGAAATGGCGATGAATTGCCCGTACCTTTAGAGGCTGTATGTATAATAAATCACGTTGGAACAGAATGAGCGACAAGATGCATGCTTGCGCTCGTCCGTTTAAGCTCGAAACGCGCCATGCAAAATTCAACACTTATGCTTTTGCTTCATTTCCATAATTAGTGAATAAGCAATTTTGGTAAACTCTGATTTGTTAAGGAAAGTCATTAATTTTTGTCGACTGTTTTCTTCCCGTTTAGGTGGTCTTTGCATTAAATTGATATCAGAGCGAGTTTGATGGATACCAATGCCAGCAACGGAAACGACTCTTTCGATTCGTCTCTGATAAATTTTACCAAAGCCGAAGGCTTTTTATGGTTTGTTGCCTTCATGGCAGACCTATTGGCTAAATTCATCCTTAATTTGATCACCATTATCGTATTTGTGAGGCAGCGCAAACTACAGCACAGGAGTACATATCTGGTCATCCACCTGGTTATAGTTGATCTCTTGGTCGAAGCGGTCTCAGGGCCTCTGTCTTTGACTCCTCCTCCATTGACAAACGTTTCCTTACTATACCTTCGAAGTATACCTAGCAGGTTGTTTCCTATAGCATCTGCAACTACACTTACTGCAATTTCTCTGGAGAGACTGCATGTTACATTTTGTCCATTTCGACATCTCACCGTCAAAAAGCGTGCTTACGTCAAAGCAATCGATGCTATTTGGATGATATCCACCTCCTTGGAAATAATTCAAACTTTCTATCAGTGTAATCGTGTATTTCTCTTATTTTTCAAGTGTCATTATAATTATTTCAATCTCGTATCTTTCGACATGTATTAAAGTTCGACGTAGTCGGTATCTTCAACACGAGTCTATGGACACAGAAACAGAGAAAAGAGACTCACAACTTCCTTAATCATTGTTACATTTGTATCCCTACTGACTTTGTCACCAGTTTTCATCTACGTAACTATACAGATCTTCTTCAGTGTACCTGACTTAAGTCTTTCCAAAGGATCAGGCATTCGGTTTTTTCTCGCAGTAGTTCTATCCTTGGGCTTAAACTCCTCAATAAATCAATTAATTTACTCCATGACGAATTCAAAATTCCGAACAGGCCTTGCAAGGATATGCTGTAGGCGTCACTGACGCCGGCATCCAATCCATGCCATTCCTGCATAAGTGACCCGGAAAATTTTCCTCCTTGAGAGTTTTCCCGGCCATAATCTTCTTCGGCAGTTATCGAAGTTTTACAAGCAGCCATTTTGGTTGCAGAAGCTACTGAAACGCGAGTTTATGAGTAGTAAATGGATTATCTGATTCGTGATGTGCTAGTAGTCAATTGCAACAAATGTAATGCGTTTAGTTAACCGTTTCGAAAATGATAAAAATAAAGAGCTGTGATTATTAGGAGGGTTGTAGATCTTTCGACTGGCTAATAAAATTTGGTTGAGTGGGTGGAGAGGGAAGGGGGATTATGACAATATTCGTATAATAATGATCATTAACTCACGGCCTTAAAACAGCTGTGAGTAGTTCTTTGGTGCCCTGGTTAGGCAAGATTTCCAAACTTTTCTTAAATTAGGACCATTACAGGCACCCAAAATTCTTCTCAATTATCCTGGCAGCATTCTTTTAATACCGTTGTAGACAATCGAACTAAATTGATGGCGATCGCACGCAATCCATGGATTCGGCTCGATCATTGGGCTGAGTTCAAATGAGTTTGTTCGGCAGACAAACAAAATGGAACGACACTTTAATTTTCTTTGAGTGCCGTTACCAAATCAACCGTGGCTTGTTAGGTCGGTTGCCAAGGAAACAGGTTAATCCGACAACGGTGCCAATCGATCATCGCGAGTCATAAAATAATAGCATTTACAGGCCATAGCAACTGGACGAGTTGTTTCTTAACAACTCTAAAAACAACCCCCTCCTTCCAATTTTTATCAGAGAAATGCGCTGATCGTCCATTTCCTCATAAAAATCGCATTTTATGAAAATATCTTACCACGCATATGACGCAAACAAATGTAAAAATAGTTGAGAGAAAAAAGATAAAGAAGAATCCATGCCAATTAGAACCGTCAAGCAGCATCTGCACCTTAATGAGACCCCAATGACATTTCTCAGAACATTAGCTACATGAAACAGTCAAGAATCGCACGTTCAAATGCGCCCGATTGTCTGCTTAGAACTAAGTTTTTTAGTTATCATGTTCATTCAATCGAATTCAATAACACTCGATTTAGATCAATTTATAATCATGTCGATATTGCTGTCGATAACCTTTGCAAGGCTGAGATTTGTCAAAAGAACTCGTCCCACGTGTTTAAAATAATCGCGGGATTGGATTTCCTGAATGAACCCCGACTTCATTGGATAAACAGATTAACTGAAATCCAGGCGATGATCAGTCAAACAGATCGATTAGGATTGTCATTACTCCGGATAGGTCAATTATGCTGGGAATTCAAGCGTCGGGGTTTGTACTTTTATCTTGGTTGTTTAGTAATCAGTCAATTATGATTATGAGAAGCGATAATTACATAGTTCTTTCCTTTTTCGTTTTTTTTTTTCGCTCTATGATCAAACTGCGGTAAACCTTGTATGAAAATTGTGAGGAAATAATATTTGTAGAGAGATCGGAAGTGAGAATCGCGTGCTATGCATTCTAACCGAATGTGAGCGGGCCAAGCTGGCTTTGACGCAGAGGAAGTCGTACACAACAATAGGAAACGTGACACCGTTCCGGCCAGTGGTTCCCCGAAGAAATACACTATCAAAAAAGACGCTTCACAATATTTGTCATTCACATCTTTACATACATCATAAATAATCTCCAGTAAACACAAAGGGGTTGCACAGCAAGTGCTTTGGATGAAAGGTGAGTTATTTCCATTCGAAATTATCAACTTATCATTCAAGTCCTCTTTTAAATATGACGAGGAATCGATTGCGGAAAGAACCGCTTGTATAAAAGGGTCAGTCTCGACTCTTACAACGCAGAGCTGATGAAAAGCGTTTTAAAAACATTCGTTACCTCAGTAATCATTAGAAAGGAAATGTTGTCCTTTTTCAGTGGGGCAGAGAAATCCCTTATTCGATGTAAAGGTGAATCGCAGTAGTTTATCGTCTCGAATAATTGCTCGATAGACTGTGCGATACATTTCGTCGACTAAACGCCGCCTCAGCGGAAAAGTTGGAATTCGTATCATTTCGTCAGCAGAAAATGTCTTTTAAATCGCTTCAAACTTTGAAAATTAAGAGAAAATTTAGATAATTTATTTCTGAGATGTCTGCCAAATAGTGAAATTTCTCCTGCTTTGCGAAGGTCGCCATCACCCTTGCGGGGCGGAAGATAGAGCATCTTCGAATCGCTCCTAGAGGAAGACGGTTAAGTACCTTTAACAATCATCATTACGTTAGAAGTGTATGGTAATTGAAACAAAAACTTTTAAAATTTTGAAAAAGAAGGGGTATTTTATTGCTGACAAGGAATGCTAGAAGATTTTCATTTAAGCTGGTTTGCTGATTTGCCTATCAAGTGTCATGGTTTGTAGAGACTGACAGAGAAATGATTACAGATGCACACTGATGTTAAAATGTCAAGTGACGTCGTGTCATATTCCGTCGCACGGCATTGTCAACAACAAGGAACGTTCCAAAATATTTGCTCACATACACAAGTAGCAACATAGTATATATATTAAACTTCGCTTTGCATTTTGAAGAGTATATTAGTCATACTTTGCTGTCACGACTCAGTTTGTTCAATAACTAAACAAGCAAGGATCGTTTAATGTTAACCGAGTATTATTTAAGAGTCCGTCTATTTTGGAACATAGCGTTTCTTACGCAAACTTTCTACAAGTAATAAATTGTATGGTTAAGAAGGATAAATTTATGTTATGTTTGTGAGGAAAATTGCAGCCAGGTTCGACTCATTTTTTGCGTCGGTTAAATTTCCATTAGGAAATCAGTGAGCTCGACCACTGTAATGAATTCGAACAAGGTGCGACATCTTAAATTTTATTCTGTTTAGCAGGAGTGTTCATATGGGAATTTCTTTGTCTGCTTATCAAAATTACTCTAGTAATAAACGAACGAGGCACTGACCCCGCTGACATAAAGGGGCTCGTCTCAATAGGCCTCAAGAAGACAATCGATAAGACTGATGACAATAATTGCCAACGAGCCAGCCGAGCGAAGACGCTCGGCTGGCGAGGCGGCAGAGAATAGTGCCGCGCGAAGAATGGTGTATGCGAAAAAATTCTCGATCGGCATTGAAAAGTGTAAGTGTAAGGTGTAAGGTGTAAGATGTAAGAATGTCTCAGTTTAAGCCAATTGCAAGGAAGGAACTATTCAAGCCAATGAAAAGACGTGTTACATTGTAAATGAAAAATTCAGTGTTGTTTTTTTATGCTCTTTCAAAGCAACAGTTATACAATACAACACGATTCATATTCTTTGTTATGTTATTCTTTATAATGTTACATTAATAACAAGAACTATTCACATCCTTTCACATGTTCAAGTTATTAAATGACTTGGTTAATATTACCAAGCCCTTAAAACCTTAGTACAGTTTCCATGTTACTCTTATTAAAAACCCTTTTATCAATTGGAAAAAACTATGCAAATTGATCGCTCGTTGGCACTCTATCGATAGGTATATCTAGTTTATCCTTTAAAATGAGTACTGCGGGAATGGCCTACGTGACAAAATTTTCTTCTGGCTCTCTAGTTTTTATTCTTGTAGGCGCTTGGATGTGTTGTATAAATCTCTTCTTCCTTGGGAACAGTTTTTGGTATCTGACAAGGCTAAATTTCAGGGCATCTGTCCTTTTTGATTAAGAATTTCAAGTACATGCTATTTGTTGTTAAGAACGTATCATGCAAAGCAGATATGAATGATATCCTCCAACTTGAAGTGTTATCGAATTAAAGTTATCATTTGCAAGTAGATGACAGACAATAAACTTTTTAAAATACTGGTATAACTGAAAAAAGTTAGATTCATAAACGTGGCTCATATCAATCGCTTATTTTATTATCCTTCTGCATATATCATTGTATTAGCGTTACCTGGTAACTCCGCTGTCACAAAAATATATCGTGACGAATGTGCGAAGTCAGTGGAATTATTCTCAAATGAATGTTTGCTTTTCATTCCAGTGTATCCTGAGAAATAATGATGTTAGTGAAGATTATGTTGTGATTGTATTCTCTCACGTACAGCACTTGGAGTAGGAAACACTTGCGAATTAGAGGCTGTCAAATATCCAAACTTCTAAAGGTAAATAATATGCTTTTTCCAGATGCTTTAAGAACCTTTAAAAAACATCAAAGCGAGGAAAGGTTGAAACCATTTACTATAGACACTCAAATAAGCCACCGCTTCCTCTGTCTAAAAAGCCCCTTCCTCAGGTTTTTTTTTATAAGCCTTCCACCTCTTCCTCTCCGAAAACAAAAACTACAATTATTATATTTTCGTTTTTCCTTTTTGGGCTATTCAGCAGTTCAGTATCTGTGCTGAAAGGGTTCCATTCGTTTCCGCTTTAGATATCGTAGATATTCAACTAAAGACATCTGCTGTATATGGTTTATGGTCACAGCTAGGCGAAAATACAGGCAGTCTCTCTCACAACCTGCTACCTCCAAAAAGCCTTTCGTCAGAAGAGCATAAATGTCTTCACAATTCACCTTCCTCCCCTCCCTACCCACCTGCAGGAGGACCCTTTATCGCATGTGAGAGTGAAATCATATCGCAAGAATGCGAATCAGGAGTGATGTTCATTTATAGGACTAAGCACCTTAGATCTCTTAAACGCTATAATAACGAGTCTCAAATATACAAAACACAACTCAACAACATTCCGATAGTTATGAAACAACTGACCTAAAAGACGCTTAAACAGTCGACTTTATCGCCTTATGGAGATTGCATCAAGACATTCTTACCAACGCCATCAACGGTTGATAGACTTTCTTACCAACGCCATCAACGGTTGATAGACTTTCTACAACTTGAGACTAACGATTACGTATACGTTCATTCATTTTGTTTGACGTTTTCATATCCATTGGGAGATTTCTCTTCCCCACATCAATTTTTTCAGTCTCTTTTAACACATAGCTTATTTTCTGAATTTGAAATATTTGCAGTTCCTTAATGGCTGAAGACCATAATGACAGTTCATTTAACCACAGCTTCGAATCGAGGAATTCCTCCGTGTGTGGCTCTTCAGACTGTATCCCGTGGCTTGCTGTGAGCATCACTGAATGTCTGGCCATAGTCATCTTTAATCTCCTCACCATTATTGTATTTGTGAAGCAGCGCCAGCTACAGCGCAGAAGCACTTACCTGATCATCCACTTAGCGGTAGTCGATCTCTTGGTCGGAGCAGTCTCAGGACCTGTGATTATTGCTTACCTATTTAAGTTTTACCTGGACTCACAAAAGAAGCATTCAGTAATATTTCCAATATTTAGTGATTTATTTCCCACAACTTCAATTGCAAATCTTGCTGTCATTGCTTTAGAAAGACGACATGCCACATTTTATCCCTTTAAGTATCGAGAAGTTAAGAAGTGGATTTATGGGATCATAATTGTTGCCATTTGGTTCGTACCTTTGTGTAGAGAGATCGCTCAGGATGTTTTATACTATCGAGAAGGGAATTCGGATCTTTCGATATTGTTTTCAAGATTTAGTTATGTATTATATTCGTCAGTTTTTCTTAGTATTATCTGCATTTCTTACATTGCAATTTTTATAAAAATCCGATGCAGTCCTAATCCTCATTCTCACAATCTTGGTCCAACTAAAAGAGAAAGAAGACTAACAACCACCCTTCTTTTCGTGACGCTTGCGTCTTTGCTGACTTGGCTGCCGTCTACCTTTTTCAGAATCGCCATATTTTGGGGTCACAGAATGATGTCTTCTCAGTCCTTTTTTTATATTTACGTGACAGTGGCAGCGTTGATTGGTGCCAGTTCCTTGGCAAATCCAATTGTATATGCCGTAAGGATGCCGGAATTTAGAGAAGGTTTGGTAAAATTATTCCGCAAAGCCCCGAATCATGCATATGAGGCTGATTCACCACTAAGGACTAGGCAGTCCTCCCTACCCTAAACAGTATTCCTGAGCCAAAAATTTAACTTGTCGCAAGAATCATTTCCTGAAATATCTTGCATATATATGCGGTGTTCTTACTTTTTCCTTGATACAATGATAGTAATTTTTTTTGCAAATTTAGTCTTAATCGCCATGGCATGGGTGCCTTTTGAGTATCACTTTTTTGCATGATCTACATGCAGTTTCTATATCATTGCGATGTAATATTTCAATAAATGGCTTGAGCCAAGGAGTAACGTGATTCTGTTAAGAGTCGGATGATAACTTCCACTTAGGACGTCAGTCACATATTCGAATTAGAATAACCGACGACATTCCTTCTACCTTCAAGCAAACGGTTAGATAACACGGTCATATTAAGCTGTTAATAAGGATTCCTTTTGTAAATATTATTTAGCAAATATTATTTGTATTATTAGTTCTCTAAGAAGGAAAGAAGAAATAAGTGAGCTGTAATTAAGCTATGTAATGTTATTATTGTGATGCGTGTCTCGTTAGTTGAGTAGGCATCGTGAGACCTTTTAATGTAACATTTGATAAAATGTATAAAGTGTTGACAAAATTTTGCGCGTTGGAAATTGCTCTTCGCATCTTCCTTACCTTATCATAAGCAAAGAGCCTTAGGTGATATGAAACACCCGATGACTTGGTCGTCATTGAAAGCAGTGACTAATGTGTGGTCTTGCATTTCAATAAGAAAACTTAGTTTTTTGCGCCTCATCCCAAGGTCATCTGGTCATGACCAGCTTTTTCTTACTTCCGAGTACTTTTAAAAACAATGCGATGGAGAAGGAAAATATTGCTTCTCACTAAAGTTCAGCTATGCGCTTGGAAAAAAAAAACTTTACTACTTTTTTTCTCAGACCTCAATAAAGTAAATGTTTCCTCTAAAGAATTTCATTTCTTTTCATTTTCGAATTAGTTTTCGTCGACCAAAAAGCATTTTAATTTATACTATCTGTTTTCATTTGAAAAGAGGTTTCAGATTGGCCTTCCTGTTTTCGAATGATGAAAACAACTTCCGTCCAAGAAGTTATTTACAAATGAGTTAAGGAAAATTGACCTACTGTATTCTCTCGAATAGGCGCGGGGGGGAGAGAG